AGAATAATGTTTAAATTCCACTTAAAACAGAAAAATAAGAGAGATGAATGGGCAACTTACAGATTAAAAGATATTTAAGACAAATGAATTGTAATGGATGGACCACATATATTTTTAAAAACTTTTTAAATTGCAGTATAATTTACACTGTTGTGTTAGTTTCAGGTGTACAGCAAATGATTCAGATTTCAGATTCTTTTCCATTATGGGTTATTACAAGATATTGAATATAGTTCCCTGTGCTGTACTGCAAGTCCTTGTTGTTTATCTATTTTTTATATAGTACTGTGTATATGTTAATCCCAGACTCCTAATTTATTCCTCCCCCCAGCCCTCGCTTTCCCCTTTGATAACCATAAATTTGTTTTCTATGTCTGAGTCTATTTCTGTTTTGTAAATAAGTTCATTTGTATCATTTTTTTAGATTCCATATGTAAGTGATATCATATGATATTTGTCCCTCTCTATCTGACTTACTTCACTTTATAATCTCTAGGTCCATCCATGTTGCTGCAAATGGCAATTTCATTCCTTTTTATGGCTGAGTAATATTCCATCACATATATGTATACGACAACTTCTTTATCCATTCATCTGTTGATGGACATTTAGGTTTCTTCAATGTCTTGGCTGTTGTGGATAGTGCTGCTGTGAACATTGGGGTGCATGTATCTTTCCAAATTAGAGTTTTCTCTGGATGTATGCCCAGGGGTGGGGTTGCAAGATCATATGGTAACTTTATTTATAGTTTTTTAAGGAATCTCCATACTGTTCTCCATAGTGATTACACCAATTTACCTCCCCACCAACAGTGTAGGAGGGTTCCTTTTTCTCCACACCCTCTCCAGCACTTATTATTTGTATACTTTTTAATGATGGCCATTCTACCTTTTAATGATATCTCTTTGTAGTTTTGATTTGCTTTTCTCTAATAATTAGAGCTACTGAACATCTTTACATGAGCCTATTGGCCATCTGTATGTTTTCTTTGGAGAAATGTCTATTTAGGGTCTTCTGTCCACTTTTTGATTGGGTTGTTTGTTTTTTTGATATTAAGCTGTATGAGTTGTTTGTATATTTTTGGAAATTAATCCTTTGTTGGTAGCATTGTTTGCAAATATTTTCTCTCAGGCCATAGCTTGTCTTTTCATTTTGTTTAGGGTTTCCTTTGCTGTGCAAAAGCTTTAAAGTTTAACTAGGTCCCATTTGTTTATTTTTGTTTTTATTTCCATTACTCTAGGAGACAGATCCAAAAAAAACACCACTGCAACGTATATCAGAGTGTTCTGCCTATGTTTTCCTCTAGGAGTTTTATAGTATCTGGTCTTACATTTAGGTCTTTAATCCATTTTGAGTTCATTTTTGTATATGGTGTTAGAGAATGTTCTAATTTCATTCTTTTACATGTAGCTGTCTGGCTTTCCCAGCACCACTCATTGAAGAGACTGTCTTTTCCCTATTGTACATTCTGGCCTCCTTTGTGGTGGATTAATTAATCCTAAGAACACAGGTTTATTTCTGGGCTTTCTATCCTGTTCCATTGATCTTTATGTGTTTTTGTGCCAGTACCGTACTGGTTTTTGTTTGTTTGTTTTTGGATTTTTTTTAAAAAATGGAAGTATTGAGGATTGAACCCAGGACTTTGTGCATGCTGAACATGCACTCTACCACTGAGCTATTACCCTCCCTGCCCTGTGCCATACTGTTTTGATTACTGTAGTTTTGTAGTGTAATCTGGAATCCAGGAGCATGATTCCTCCAGCTCTGTTCTTTCTCAAGATTGTTTTGGCTATTTGGGGTCTTTTGTGTTTCCATACAAATTTTAAATTCTTTTGTTTTTATTCTGTGAAAAATGCCATTGGTAATTTGATAGGGATTGCACTGAATCTATAGATTGCCTTGGATAGCATGATCATTTTAACAATAGTGATTCTTCCAATACAGAAAACAGTGTATCTTTTCATCTGTTTGTGTCATCTTCAATTTCTTTCACCAGTCTCATAGTTTTCAGAGTAGAGGTTTTTTGCCTCCTTAGGTAGATCTATCCCTAAGTATTTTATTGTCATGTATGGACCATATTTAAAAAAAAAAAGATTCAACATCATTAGTCATCAGGGTAATGCCAGTTAAAACCACAATGAGATACCATTTTACACACTACAGGATGGCTAAAAATAAAAAGTCAGATAATACTTATTGGTGAGGATGTAGAAAAGTTGGAAACCTCATTCACTGCTGGCAGGAATGGAAAATGGAAAATAGTCTGGCTATTTCTAAGAGGGTTAAACAGAGTCACCATCTGAGCTAGCAATTCTACTCCTAGGGAGATACTCAAAAGGAATGAAAACATGTTTACACAAAAACTTGAGCATAAATGTTTGTAGCAGTGTTATACATAATAACCAAAAAGGGGAAACAACTCAAATGTCCATCAACTGATGAATGGATAAGCAAAATGTGATGTATCCTCACAATGAAATAGTATTTGGTAATGAACAGGAAGGAAGTGTTGACACAGATTACAACCTGGAGGAACCCTAAAAACACTATGCTGAGTGAAAGAAGCTAGTCTCAAAGCACCATGTATTATATGATTCTATTTATATGAAATGTCTAGAAGAGGCAAATCTTTAGAAACAGAAAGTAGATTAGTGGCCTCTAGACACAGCCCTACCCACTAGAGGTCCGGGACCAGCTTCACCCAGCAGTGGGCAGGCACTGGCTCCTCCTGCCAGGAAACCTGCATAAGCCTCTAGTCCAGCCTCATCCACAGGGGTAGATACTAGAAATAAGGAAACAATAATTCCAAAGCCTGTGGAAGGAATCCACAAGCACACAGAAAGATAGACGATATGAGGTGGCAAAGGAATATCTCCCAGGCCAAGGTACAAAATAAAATCCCAGAAGTAAGTGATGAGGAGATAGGTAATTTATCTAAGAAAGAGTTTAAAGTGATGATGGCCAAATGTTCAGAGAACCCAAGAGGAGTATAGATGCACAGAGTGAAGTTTTTAGCAAAGAGTTGGAAAATACAAAGAATACCCAAACAGAGCTGAAGAATAAAATCACTGAAATGAACAATACACTAGAAGGACATAGAATAGACTAAATGAGGCAGAAGAATGGATCAGTGAGCTAGAAGACAGATTAGTGGAAATCACTACTTCAGAACAGAAAAAAGAAAAAAGAGTAAAAAGAAATGAGGATAGTTTAAGAGAACTCTGCAACAACATAAAGCACTCTAATATTCACATAATAGGGGTCTTAGAAAGAGAAGAGAGGGAGAGGACCTGAGAAAATTTTTGAAGAGATAATAACCAAAAACATCCCTAACTTGGGAAAGGAAACAGTCACCAAGTCCTGGAAGTGCAGAGAGTATCACACAGAATTAACCCAAAGAGGAACACACCAAGGTACATAGTTAACAAATTGACAACAATTAAGGATAAGGAGAAAATACTAAAATTAGAAGAGAAAAGCAACGAATAAGATACAAGGGAACTCCCAAAAGATTATCAGCTGATTTTTCAGAAGAATCTCTACAAGCCAGAAGGGAGTGGCATGATATATTTAAAGTGACGCAAGGGGGAAACTGACAACCAAGAATACTCTATCCAGCAAGGCTTTCGTTCAGACTTGATGGAGAAATCAAAAGCTTCACAGATGAACAAAAGCTAAAAGATTTCAGCACCACCAAACTAACTTTACAACAAATGTTAAAGGATCTTCTCTAGTCATCAAACCATAAGAAAAGAGAACAAAAAGAAGAGAAAATAAAGAGAGACCTACAAAAGATTGCTTTGGCTGTTCAGTGTTGTGGTTCCTTATAAATTTGGGAATTGTTCTAGTTCTGTGAGAAATGTCGTGAGTATTTTGATGGGGGTTGCATTGGATCTGTGGATTGCTTTGGGGCAGTGTGGACATTTTGATGGTGTTGATTCTTCCAATCCAAGAGCACAAGAAATCTTTCCATTTCTTTGCGTCATTTCGGTTTTCAGAGTATAGGTAACCTCCTTGGTTTAGTTTATTTCTAGGTATTTTGTTGTTTTTGATGTAATGGAAATGTCTCTGCCAGTTATAAAATTCTGGTTTTTGAAGAGAAAAAAAAAGTGAATGAAAGGCCACAAATGGAAAAATAGCCTTTTTTATGAGTGAGTTGTATTCCATTTTTAGATATAAATAAAAATGGAATATATATACATGTATATGTATATGTATATGTATATATATATATATATACACACACACATGCTGTATCTCCATTATCTATTCAACTATTGATGTGTACTTAGGATGCTTCCATATATTGGCTAATTTATAAATAATGTTGCT